GACCTCTGATACACGAGCCACTCTGCTGTCAGCTCAGCCACATGTGGCAAATGAGGCGCTCAGCAATCTCAGTGACAGGCACAAGATGTCCCGGACTGCCAGGGGCGTGCATGCTAACACGCACAAACACACACGCACCCTGTAAAATATCGCTCAAACAGATGCGCTCAGCTGCGAATCATGCCTACTGGTCAAATATACGTTCTTAGAAATGAACAGGTTGCTGTGGAGGACAAGGCCAAAGCAAGCGACTGATCTCTTGACATTTTAACTAATCCCTTCTAGCTTGTGGTTTTTTGCACATTTGTGATATTTGCTAGCAGCCAGAATTGGCTTTTTCACATATGCACCCTGTCATGTTAGATTGGACGATGACATGGTGCAGAATGGGGATGTGATGGCTCCTGTGCTGAAGTGGACTGTGATTGGCTTTAGATGACACTACTGGCTTGAGGCTACCTGCCTTTCTGTGGGTTGAGAAGTGGATTCTTTAACTGCTCTGGTGTCTCATTTGTTGGCAAAGCTCTTAGTACAACCCCAGCAGCATTTCCAGGACTTCCTGTGATATAGTTAAATTAATTTCCCTGACAACCCGCTCAGCTATTCTGAATCTCTTGGCAGAATTTCATTCTCTTTTTGTGTTGAGGTGTTTTCTGGTGGCAGGTGGTGCTTGGTTGATTTGAGCTTCTTAGGTGAGGTGTAATTAGTCATAGTTAAACTTTGGGATGACATTTAGAATTTCTTGTGACTCTTATTTGTTTACATGCTCCAGCCATGGCAGACCACCGTAGTGTTGCGTGATGTGTGTGATGGGACAAGCTGTACCTGCCACGGCCCCGTGTTTTGTGGCTCTGGGCGAACACACGGTACCTGTCAGAAGCAGTTAGAGCCCCGCTCGGCAGCCTGCCTTGTATGGCATCTCGTCAGACGCCAGTTGAACTTTTCACTTGTCAATTCTGAAAGGTTAGCACCAAAATCAGCAACAACAGATGCAAATGGATGGATGCTTTCTTGGCAATTTTGTACTGAGATGCATGATGTCGCCCGGATCACCTTGAATGACCCCTCCCACCTTTTCTGCCACTTTTTAGCCCCCACCCTAGCTTTAGATCACATACGCATGCTTTCTGATGTATTACATACGTGAATCCCTGTTTTCAAGTCTTGCCATGTGGTTGGGTTTCCTGGGAGCAGTGGCAGACTGCCCATCTGTGAGTTCTGGAGAACCCCAGAACGGCCCGTGTTCTCTAGGGCCGGTGTCAGCCTTTAACCTTCCCCTCACACGTTAGAGATCCGTGTCATAGGATCCAGCAGGCTGCAGCAACGTCCAGCCTCCCACCCAAGTGCGCCGGTACGGCCACTTCTTATTTGGAGTATTTACAGTCACTTTTTTGTCAAAATTTCCAAGATTTCTGAAAAAATATCTTTACGTCCTCAAACAGCCACCCCTCCCAATTCCCGGACTCGCGCATCATGAGAGTCTGCATTTTGGCGCATCGCTGCCGCGAGGCGCGCTGCGCATACAGCTCCATTGGCCCTGGCTGAGGAGAGAAGAGACGAGTTATCTGACACCACGCATGTTCCCGCAATGATTTACAGCAGCAGCATCTGATCAGTGGTTAAATGCGCAGACAGAAGAAACAATCTTCTATATGGCGCCTCTCAAGATAAAAATCACAAAGTGCTTCACAAAAACAAATATTAAACATTTTTTAAAGAGCTGGATAGATGACCTCCAAACAAAATAGTGAGTAAGCACAAGAAAGAAAATGCCTAAACAAGATGAGTGTGCTTCATTTGAAAGTAGGCATGTTAAAAACAACAGCTTTGTGGTCATAAACATCCCAGCTGCTGCTGTTCATGAGACAGAGGAGAGGATAATTCTGTCTGGATGTGAACTGGAGATTAGATTTTTCAGCAGCCATGATTATCATTATTAAATATCTTAAATGCATACAGCTTCACCTCTGTCTTACACTGTCTTAGGTTCATAGCCTTTCCATGTTATCAATAGTATTATTGGTGTGTGTATATAAATAATGTGTAGGAAAACATCCATATATATCGGCCTATGTCTGTCTGAGCTATCATCAGCTGTGCTCAGAAGCAGCACAGCACCAGATGACCTCATTGATGACTTTGTATCCATAAAAAGGAGATGTGTGCATCTGTAGAAGGCTTCTTTACTGTTGAGAGAAGTTGTTCATTTAATCTGTGCCCATTGTAAACCTAAATAACACTAATGATAGTCATTTAGCAATGGGGAGGGCCACAAAATAACCCCCCATAGAAATCGGCCTTTATCGAAGTTTCACAAATCAGAAGCTACATTTTAAGGAATCTGCTGTTAGAATAATATTAACAATAACAATAATCCACTCCAGGTTGGAATTGTCCGCGTTCTGTAGGTTCTGAGCTAGACCAGTCTCAATGTGGTCCAGATGCCAAAAAATGCTAAAATTTATTTTTACTAAATTTTCACAAATCGCAATGTTTAACCCCTTAAATGTCCAGGTTTAATGAATGTAATGGGGTTTTGTGCCATGGCTGGGATGCTGGATTGCTAAAGGATTAACAGAACCTGATATTGGTCTAGAGCTGTGGTTCCTAACCTTTTCTTCACGAGCAACCCCTTTCTTGTGTCCAAAACAATCCAGGGCCCCCCAACTCCTACCTGCATGCACACATTTAAAGTGAACAATTACAAACTTTACACAATCAAAGAGCTATGCCTCTTATAGAGTTTAATTTTACCATATTGTGTGCTATTGAAATTTTATAAATGTAATTTTTACAAATATAATCTTGGTAAATTCGTCACTGGCAAAATTATTCGGACCCCTTGGAACCCTGTGGGGACCCCCTTGGGGGTTTCTCACTGGCATGGGGTGGTTGGAGACTATTAGGAGCACAAAAAAGAAACATCAGCAGCATTTCCATTGCAAGAAATAATTAGTTCATGGTAATGTCACATGGGGCATATGGTACCATTTTAAATGGATAACAGTCACAGGGTTGTTGATTGAATTCATGTCCCTAGGTATGAGTGAGGGTGGGGCTGGTTGTGTTTGTTTGTTCCTTTGATGTACTGGAGACTTGTTCGAGGTTGTCCTCAGCCTCTCACCTGATGAGTGCTGGAGATGGACACTAGTTCCATTCAGTCCTTATTGGATGGAGCTGGTTAAAGAAGATAAATTACCAATTAATAATGAAATAAAATATTTATTTTGAACACGTGACAAAATAAACACAAAATGCAAAAAGCCATTCCGCATTTCTTCAGTCTAATGCCACATCACACCAACTAATTCAGTTTAACTTCTAAAGCACTTTCATACAACTGACTGGGAAACAAAGGACTTGAGACACACTTTCTCTTAGTAAAGACAATATAGAAGACGGTAATACTAAAACAGTTAAAGTGTAGTACAATAAAATACTTTAAATTATTTAGAGCACCTATGATGGTATTACCTGCATCAAAGCTAAATTATGTGTTTTTTTTTATCCAGACTTAAAATTTGCTACATAGGCTTCTGTCTGATTCTGAAGGTTGGAGCAAGAACAGAAAATGCACGATGCCTCTGATATTTCATAAATCGATTGTTAGATTTTGGTTGGTTGACCAAAGAAAACGCGTCGTGACATATCTGTGTAACGTCTTCCAAGCACACGGGAGTCATATTCTTCAAGGCCTTATAAGCAAGACATAGGATTTTAGAGCTATGGTGGATTAAAGGCAGTGAAGTGCCGTTAAACCTGGGGAAACATGTTCCCACCTCGATCAACCTGCAGAGACCTGTCACCTACAGAAATACTCAGATGACTCTGCAGTTGTCGGGTGTATCAGAGATGGACAGGAAGCTGAGTACAGAGAGCTGATGGAGCGCTTTGTGGCATGGTGTGGAAACAATCATCTGACCTTGAACGTGAGCAAAACAAAGGAGATGATTTTAGACTTCAGAAGAAACAGGGTGGAGTCAAACACTGTTTCCATCATGGGAGAAGAAGTGGAGGTGGTTGAGGATTACAAATACCTTGGCGTTCACCTGGACAACAGACTGGACTGGAGAAAGAACAGCGAAGCCGTTTACAAGAAGGGACACAGCAGAATGCACTTCTTGAGGACGCTTAGGTCCTTCAATGTCTGTAGCAAGATGCTGCAGATCTTCTACAAGTCTGTTGTTGAGAGTGTAATCTCTTCAGCCATCGTCTGTTGTGGTAGCAGCATCAGAAGCAGGGACCTGAAAAGGCTCAACAGCCTAATAAAAAAGGCTGGTTCTGTTCTGGGGACGACTGTGGAACCACTGGAGGAGATAATGCAAAGAAGGATTCTCCAGAGAATCAAGAAAATTATGGACAACCCTGAGCATTCTCTTCACAAGACTGTCTGACAACGGAAGAGTGTCTTCAGTCAGAGGCTTCTTCAGTTTCGCTGCAACACTGACGCTACTGGAGATCCTTCCTGCCAACAGCCGTTGTAATATACAATAACTCTTTGATGACTTGATTATTATTATTATTATTCTGAGCTACTACAGCAATCAATTTCCCTGTGGGATTAATAAAGTATTTTTGAACTGAATTCAATTTTGGTAATCGTGCTACACTGTTAAGAACCATCTGATGTCCTGCCATAGCCTTCTGGCTCATCCCTGCATAGATTGAATTACAATAGTCTAGCTTGGTAGTGGAATACCAGTCTCTCTTCATTATTTATCAAAGTAAAATGAAACCACAAAGCATAAATAATTTTCTGTCTGAAGGTGTTTTGGTTATTTTTCAAGTTATTTTATTGTTTAGTTTAATTAGATTTTCAATCCATCTGTTCTGTTATTCAGATGAAACCAACATTAATGTTGGATACATTTAACATTAATGAAGGGGATGCTTTTCTATAATAATTAATAATTCTCCCCACTAGTGAACAGATTCCTATGAGAAGGAATCCTCTTCTTCCACCCAGGGAATCATTAACAAACCTTCTTTCTGCTGTGTAGGTGGAGCTGAAGATGAAATACAACAACCAGCACTGTAAGTCCAGAGGTCTTCTTTCTGGTAATCGCTGGTACGAGATACAGGCCTACAGAGCTCTGAACCAGGCCCTGGGGAGGTAAAAACCTGCTCCACGATGGCCTCAAACATTTCCTCTGAGGATCTTTGTCCAAAAAATGAAAGCTTTTCACGTCATCATACAGGTGCATCCGCCACAGGAAGGACTGGGGAGCCCTGATTCTAGTGGATGACCGATACAGGAACAATCCCAACAAGTACATCACAGGTGCTGCACGGTTTCTGATCAGCTGAGTTTGTTTCTCAGCCTGTGTCTTGTTTTGATCACTAGGTGGCACTAGTAATCCACTGCTGTGTGTTAACTCTTAGGTTTGTCTAAATGGGTCCGTCAGCTTGTCCAGCATCACAACACCTTCAGTGGTGCCGTCCAGTCTCTGGTAGCTTTCTGCCAGGAACAGCAGAAGGTCCAAGTGGACCTTGCTGACAGCCAGATCCAGACTAAAGCCCTCGCCTCATGTGAGAAACTGCCAGAAGCTGAGGAGGACACAAGCTCAAAGCTGAAAGCTGAGCAAAGCAACGCAGGTGAGGGAAGATAGAAGGTTAATGGAAACACAAGGTCCATGTGTTTAGCAGATCTCAGAGAAAGAGTTAAAATCTGGGTTTTTATTAAAAAAAAAAACGTTGTTTAGAGTTTCTGGTTTTAAAGGTAAACACCAATTTAAAATGCTCAAAGAACAATAATTAACAAAATGTTTTCATCACAGCTTCTATGCAATTTATTTAGTTTCTTCATTCCTAAAACAAACTCAAAAAATTGAAGCCAAGTTCTGAAAAACTGCAAACAAAACAAGTAAAAAAAATACTGAAAGCAGAAATAGTTGTGTGTTTATTAAAGACCAAAGTACAAATCATAAGTTTTGTTTGTTTGAATTAATGAGTTTCGCTTTAAAAAATAAAGATTTTTAAAACAAAAGTTTTTTGGACTAATCATGTGGCTGCATTAGAGCCACACGGATGGCCGGACGTGCTAACGGCTAGCCTCTTACTGCAGGTAACAGGTGGGACATCGCTGGAAAACACAGCGAAGGAGTTGACACAAAGGGCCGGCGCAGTTTATTCACAGGGATGTATTTTTGCTGATTAAGTCTGTAAAGAAAGTATAAATAAAAAAGCTGAAAATTATATTGAGAACATCAGCTCTGACAAAGTCAGGGAATGCCACCAATCTGTGTTAGTATCTGAACCGGTACCACCTGCTGGGGCAGCAGGATGTAAATCTGCTCAACCCCAGACGAGAGCGAGTGTTAAACCCCCCTCCCCATATCATTAAGTGGGGTATGTACAGCTCTTCAATGATTAGAGGAAGGAATTTTATCTAGTGTACAATGTTTTAAGGCAAAAATTCTTATAAAAAGGATTTCTTTTCATATAGATTTGATGTTTGGAAAAGAACGATATAGAAAAATTAATCTGAACGCTGCATCAGGAAGTCGGAGAGGAGGGTCAAAATGGCAAGAATGGAGTAATGTTTTGCCCTCATTCTGCCATCATGCTCTGACTTTAAAACGCGAGTTTAGCCTTCAGAAGGGGAGGAAGTACTCATCATTCAAAACACAATAAAAAATAAGAGCATGATGCAAATGTTTTTCTGAGCATTAGGAGCCAAAATTAAAATACAAATGAGATTATTTTATTTAGACCTTTAGTGATTTCTGTTGGAAGCTTTTGACATACTGGGTCAAACATGGTGGCCTTATTAGTCACAGCCGCCAGCGTTGTGCGCGTATGTGTGTGCGTGCCTGCCTGGAGCGTGTGAGCGTGACATCACCAGCAGGGTGTGTGTGGAGGTGACGTGTTTGCACATCGACTTGGTGAGCCCCCTTTGTTCGTGGGGTCATGATGAGGTTGAACTGTTTACCCGGTAGAACGGAGTGTGGTGGCTGGAGTGGTGAAAAGGCAGTAACTCGGTTCCCTCCCCTCAGAGCCAGGGCCGTGCGATCAGTTGAGTGACTCGCCTCATTACTGTAAGGTCTTTTGTGTGTCTGAGTGGCGCTGGAGCGAGCTGATGAGCAGATGCTAGACTGTTGCTTTTAATTAAATTCCCCTGACCTTTATTTGAGTTCTATTGAGCGTATGCCTGCCTTTACCACATCTTTATTTAGTAAAGGCAGGCATACGCTCTCTGTTGTTTCTTTGTGTAAAAACTTCTCTGTAAACTGATTGCAAGTGCTAAAAGCTCCGGTTGCGAATTGTCGTTGCAGAGCTGCTGACAATGCCGCAATGCTCTCCAGTGGGGGTGCTTCCCCGTCAGCCTAAAGCAGCTCAGCCTCTGTGTGACATCTTCACCCGCTGCCCCATCAACAGCATCTTTGGGAAGCCCATCTTTAAAGGAAAAGCACCAAGAGAATCTAGCCCACATCGGGACATCTCCTCTCCAGTGACTCCTGAGAAGCAGACTGGTACCAATTCTGATCGCATCAGAGAAAAGTCCAAGGATCTAGCTCCAGCACAGTCTATAGAAACCACCCCTCCTAGGGGTGAGATGAAAACATCCTCAGCAAGCACATCTGATGAAGATGAGACCATTTTCTTTACTCCAGAACTTTTTGAGGCGGAGGGAGATGAAAGAGAAAACTCAAACCCAGAAAGAGAAAATCCCGAGTCCCCCTCTGGATCCGTCCCACAGACATTGACAAATTTTGATCCAAGAATTCCTGCGGGATCTTCTTTCTCAGATGGTATGGAAAGCGCCGAGCTGTCTCAGAAGCCAGATCAGGGGCTGAGAGGTCAGAGCGATGAAGGAGGAAAGGATGAGGCCCAGAGCAGACAGACGGGCAGAAGGCTCCACAGGCTGTCCAGATCCAGGTTCAGAAGCCCCCCCTCCCAGACAGGTGACCACCATGAACACCTGTAAAGTTAACAGCAAATCGTATTGAACGTGTTTTATAGTTTTAGCAGCTGTAGGGGGTCAAACCCGCTCACGTGGTTCAGGAGGAGTTTCCAGCCGTCTCAGGTCAGCTTCTGATGGGGTGTGACAGCTTGTCTGATTAAGCTCTGCTCTCCGTTAAAACACTAACCAACATTATTATCATTTCTGCTCAGATTCCATTCATTAAAGCCCAGAAACAGAGATGTGTGTGTGATCATTTTAGTGTAATGATGTGTGTGTAGGTGATGTCTGGATGCTCCATCATGCTTGATTTAACTCAATCACAGGGCCCTTTCACTTTTCTATAATTACATTTAAGTTTGTGTTTAAAGGCTATTAACGAAGCTGTTGTTGGTCTGGATTCATACGTTTCTGTTTTAAGAAAATGAATAAAGTCAAATGTTGAAAATGTGTTGAGTTCATTTTATACTTTCAAAACCTGTTACAAATAAAGTTCCTGCATTTAGATTTTTAGTTATTTAGCCTTAGGAAAGTAATTAGAAACCACAAATAACTGCTTTAGAAAATTTTGTGGTTCAAATGTGTTTATTATTATTATTATTAAAGCCTAACTAACAATTTTCATACTCCACTTTTTCACATTTTTAAATAACTTTCTTAAGCCAGTATGGGCTAAAATGACCCTTTACAGGATAATGAGTTGTCATTCAGACAATACCACACTTGCAACTTCAGAGTATCCGGGCCAGTCCCTGTAGTCTTAGTAAAGAGGAGCTGACATTCCAGCTGAAATGTGCTTCCAGCACGTTTCTTGCATTGTTTAGATCATGAACACGGCTGATTTGTTTGATTTATTGATGAACTGCTCCTGTAGACACTAACAAAAGCTGGGGAGGCATTTCAGCTCTTAGATTAAGGTGCTAAAAAGACAAATCCACAGCGAGAAGTTTCGCTTTCAGTTTTACGACTGAATAATTAATGGAGTCTAGGGGGTGTTGAAAGCAAACCATAACTGCAACATTTCCCTTGTTCCAACATAGTAAAGGCCTCTTTGAAGTTATTGTTTACATCCGGGTAACTGCGCACATCCACACCAGCTGGAGCGCAAGAACCCCGTCTCCAGCCATTATTCAGAGCTGTATCTCTGCGATTTAGGCTAACAAAATAAAACGTAGGGATGTAGACATCACTATTTTAGATCATCTAACATATGTTTGTGCAGATGAACAAAAAAAGCATCTCAAAGCTAACGGTGTTTAGCACAAAGCTTCCAGATCCATAGCTAAAGAGCTGTGAGATGTCAGCCCTCCTCAGAACCGGCTGCTTGGACTTCACACAGCTTACGCAACAATGATGTAACTGGATTTCTTCTATGTTTTGCGAGATATTGCTGTGCTGTGACACAGTTCGCCTTTGGAGATTAATGTGTGCGCCGTTTATTCTGGCTTGCAACGTAAACAGAAACATGAAATGAATGACATGGACCTATAAAATTTTACGTTTACTGTCCTTTCGTTTACTTGTGCATCCTAAAGCTGTAACCGTGCTTTAACTATGCTGATAGATTTTAGTTCGCCGCTTTTTAGCCCTGTTTATTGACAACTAACGGATAAACACAATGGTAGTCAATGGGGAGTTGCCGGCTCCTAGCCCTCCAGCCAGTGGCTGGGGGAGGCGAGGAAGTCACGCTTGAAGGAGTCGATAGCTATAAATATATTGTGGAGATTTGAAAAAACATTAATAAAGTGGTTCTTTCACATTTAACTTAAAACGTCTGCCAGTACATGTTTCAAACCAAAGTTGGTCCATCCGGTTGTCATCTCGCTGAACCCCAGCACTTCCCTGGGTCCTCCATTCAACTTGCGTGTTTAGCAACAGAACACCACTGGTGTGGGAGGTTATCTGCTCAATAATGTCAGAGAAGGAAAAATAGGCGGCTGCCACCACTATTGGCAGCCCCAAGGACCACCCCTAGAAATTTGCTAGCTACCCCACTTTCCACACCCAGGGAAGACCAGTGTTCTTTAAAAAATCATGTCAATGATGAGCATTTATTGCATCACTACAGGCTAAACCTTCCCAGATTTACCACGAGGATCAATTTGGTGTGCCACCCCAAAATTTTCTCTGGGCTCATGGCCATCCCTATTAAACTTTTCTGGGAGTGCCACTGGCTACCATGTCAACTTTAGGGCAAACTGCCAGAGTCCCAAATTGAAAAACACCATTTGAAGTCATGGACAACAAAAGATGTTTGGACCTGGCGAACAGCACAAGCGCCATCTCGTTTCCTCTGGCATCACGGGTTTTCACTTCTGGTAGAAGCGTCTCAGGGAAGAAACCCAAGGGGAGGGATGAGTGTTCTGTGACCGTACTTGCATCCAAAACCTAACTTGTTTTGTAGATTTGCTATAACAGCTTTAAAAAATATTAAGTTGTGACATTGGAATTTAACACCAAGTCTCTAGGAAAAGTTAATCAAATCTGTTAAAGGTGTCAGAGGGTTAAAATGCAGATAATTACCACTATGGATCAATGGTTATCATGTTGTTTACTGATGTTTGCGTCATGAATGTCCTGTTTTGACCTAAAGGTCATGATCTGCTGCGTCTGCTCGAGCAGAGACATAAAGTCTCTGACAGGCTAATCTACATGAGATAGTGGCCAAGGTCTTTCATGCACTCTGCTCATCTGAACTGCTTCACCTCTGTTACAGCTCAAGACGAAGACGAAGAACTATTTTGATGAACACATAATCAACAACTTTGTTATTACCAATAATAATGTGAGCCCAATGTTCAATCAATCTGTGAAATGACAATGTCACTACTTGATATTATAATCCTGTGATCAGTAGTATTTTACAAATTATTATAATTTTGGACATTTGCTCTAGACACTAATGACACTTAATGCTAAAGTCACACGACACATTTCCTTTTGTCTGACCCAATCAGAACCTTCCTTTCTGGTGCTAGGCGTGGTTATCTGTGGTGTTTGTATAAACCCTCTTTTGCATGTCAAATTCTGATTCGCCAGTAAACCAAAATATCACAATTATAAAAACTATTCCACGCTACCTTTTCTTTATTTCAAAGCGTTCTAGAGAAGTCTCGGACAGGCCATCCGGACTTCCTCTTCAGCCATAAAGAACCTCGACAAGCTGGATAAAATCTGTTGCAAGTTACACCTGACCACAATGGTTCCTTCAGAATAAAAGCTGAACCTCACGACCCTTCAGGGTCTCCGAGACGCCAGTGAACCTGTCGTGACCTGGAAGCATTCCAAGACTAGTTTGGTCAGCACTGCTGCTTTTCTACCGGCTTCAGTACCAAAGAGGGTCCAAGAGGACCTCGGCATTCTGGATCTAACGGGGGCTTCCCCAGGGTACGTAGACCGACAGATGGCGTTTCATGTGTGTTATAAATCTCCTGCTAAAGTTAAGAGCGAAACATTCACTCCCACTCAGAACTAACTGCTTCCCCAGATCCGCTGGTTCTGAATAACATTACACACACACACACACACACACACACACACACCATCGTTCATTTCATGTCTCACTCCACCTTAGTCCATCAGTACACAGAGTGTTAAAGTTAGTCTTGTTTAAATTGTGTAGAAATAAATTTCTTAACTATTGTAAACCTGACTCTCTCTCTCTTTCCTCGGAGTTAAAACGAAGTGTCGCTTAATCCCTGCAATAAAAAGTTCTGATCTGGTTAAAATGTTCAAAGATCCATCAGATTGATATTTCACATTTCTATGGAATCTCACATTTTGTGGTTCATAAGTAAAATGTAAACGACCCATTCTTTACAGTGGTTTGTTGTCTGTGTGTACCAGTCATCTGTATATGACTGACCCCCAATCCAATTCTTGCATTTTTTATTTATTTTTTATTTTACATTTGAGATCATCAAACATCTGATAATAGCTGATTAAAAGGGACATGGTTGATAATTCACCAGTTGCATCATTCCTGCTAACAGGCTGATGATTATCATCAGTCTGGTTTAAAATGTTAAAATCAATATGTGGTTGAGAACGCACTTTTAAAGTTTTAAAGATTTAATTGAAGCAATATTACAAATCTAGTTAATTTTATTCCTTTTTGCACTCTTTTGGTTTTATTGATTTTTTTCTGGTATCATTCTTGGAATGTTTCCATTTATTTTTATTGTTTTTAGGCATGTGCATTTTGATTTTATTTGTTTTTAGTGTTTTTTTTATCTCATGACATCCATTTATAGTATGGTCTTATTGTTGTCTAATTATATATTATATGAATTATAGGATCTATTGTATTGTGTACTGCACTTTGGGCAGCCTTGGCTGGTGGCATTAAGGTGCTTTATAAATAAATAAATAAATAAATGAAATGAAATTAATACCAATGAACATCTTGTAAATACACCGGTTTTAGTAAAATGCTAATTTCCATCCATAGCCCCTTATACTTACAGCATAGCACATAAAGTGACATTAACATAATGCCAGATTTGACAAAAATTATTAAAACATTAATTAAAAACTTTAAATTTGTTAAAAATAAATCAAACATTCTTAAACCTTTGATTATTGTGAGTGAAATTTCCTAATCCTAATAACAAAATGGACATGTTGACCAATACCAAACAAGTTATTGAGTAGAATGTTTGTTACTGATCAACCACGCTCTATGGAGTGGTAAGAATGACTGGTTGTGTTCTGCAGCTTCTGCAAAAAAAAGTAGAACTTGGCAGTCCCGTCTTGGGGCCACTGTGGCTCTGGGGTTGAAAGTTCACCAATCAGTTGCTTTGTAATTGTTGGATAACTGGTTCAAACCCAGGCATTGTCAGTTGTGTTCTTGGGTCAGACCCGACTTGCTTGCTGCCGGTGCTGCTGGTCGAGGGACTAGTGAGCCTGTGTACAGCAGCCTTGCGTCTGTCAGTGTGCCCCAGGGTAGCTGTGGCTACAATGTAGCTCATCATACCCGTGTGTGTTGATATGTATGTGCATGGATGAATAACTGACTGTAGTGTAAAGCACTTCTGACTTATTTATCATTTGAAGGTGGTCTCTTGTCTTTTATTTATTTTTATTTTTTAGCAAATTTCTAAGACAGTTCGCAATCAATAGTTTCTGATAAATGTGCGTGCTTCTGAGTACTTAAAGACTGTATTGAGTCTGTTTTGATTGTTGTATGTATTGTAAATAGAACAGGCCATTATCTTTATGTCTAATTGTTTAATCTCATTTTTGTTTTGTATTTTATTTTTTTGTCTTACCTGTTTTTCTTTGATGTAAAGATAACTATGTGTCTGTTGTAAATGAGAATGAGTTCTCATTCGACTCATCTGGATAAATAAGGGTTAAATAAAGTTATTGGTGGTGTGGCATTAACTGTTAGACATGTTGGGATGAGACATGCTTTGACAATGAAAAATTTCTAGATTAAGAAATTAA